GAACTTTTTCTAGAGTTGTTTCCTTGCTAGTGGTCTAGACTAGAGCATGCATCAATGAAGACGTTGATCTTCCCTAAGGGGGGGAGAGTGTTGCAAATGTGACTTTAGGTATATGCTTTATTTCGTTAAAGTGGGACTTATTCAGTAAAGTGGGATATTAATTAGCATGTGTCCACTAGTACTTAATTAATATTTATTAATATTTCTATCAGTTTTTTAGTTTATTTTTTTATATTTCACAATATTATAACACAAAATCATATGAAAAGTTTTTAATTTATAAATTATAAAGCTAAAACTTCAATTTTTTATTGTTGTTATAAAAATGGCATGTGGCCACACACCATAAGTGGGATAATGAAAAGTTCCACTTTAACGAAATAAAGCATGTATCAAAATTTACCTATCGGCTGTCCTTTCGGATATTCTTTTTTTACTGCCACAATGGTAAAAGGTCGGTATTCTTGGACCCATTATTAGTCCCTCTTATGCTAGTGGAGTTAACTGGGCATTTCAAGTGTACTTAGACCGAACAAGCATAAGGACAAAATTCCTACGTACTATTAGTTAAGTATACTTAGCCTAGTAAAGAATTCCTGTCTTGTTATATCTTGCATTGGCTAATGACAAGAACCCTCGTGTATTAAGATTAATCTCTCAATATCACTGAATGATAGTTTACTATATCTGCTAAACACCTTCGCTATTATGCCTTTTGTGTTAGTTTTATTTTGGTCCCAAATGCTATTTATGAAAAGTGTCTAGATTTGCTCATTTGGCATATCTACGGAATGTAGAGATTGTCCTAAACACAATGGTGTTTGTCCCATGTCCAAATTCACAATCTAAAAACATTCCATATTTAGTAAGTTTTGAGCTTATCCCAGAGACTAACTCCTGACACTAAAGGAGGATTGGGGTGAAAGCCCAAAGTGTGTTCCTTAGGGGGGGGGGGGGGGCGGGGGGGCAAAAGGGTTCCAAAAATATAGTAGGGATAGTGGGTAAATCGGGTACGGCTGACTAACCTAAGGCAAAATCTAGCTCTTGTTTGCATGGCTATCCTTATTTTGCATTCGGCTTGGGTCTAAACCCAAGTTTCACACCATGCTAGCTGGGGGAGTACCCATATCCTCACGTTAAGCCACTGGTATGCTAAAATAACACCCGACTTTATTTGGTTTCATTTTGCATGCTGATTCTAGCATTGGGATATTGGATGCTCTAAAACTGTTCTAAGTTGTTCTGTGCTCCTGTCCCTCGTTCCTTCGATTAGTGGCCCAAAGCTCTGAAACTCAGGTTCTAGACCACTATCCTTTGAACACGTGGCATGTGACATGTGGCATATAGAGGGTTTAAGTTCCATTTCATGGTTATTCTATAGTAAATCACCATAAGATAAAAGGTAAAAACCACATATATTACAACTATCCCTCACTTGAAACACTCTATAGAGCCTCTTGGCTTGTGTTTGATGGTCATGGCTATGTAAGACTTGAATTAACCCATTGAGCTTTACCTTATGTTTGATGGTTGTGGATATGGAGGACTTTGACTCATCTATGAACTCTATGTTGGCTGTAGTTGAAGACTTTGCTTGAGATTATATTTTTAAAAGGTGGAGTTATGTAACAAAGTATGGTTTTGGATATTTAGTGGATCCAGCTCATGCAAACTCTAGAGATAAGAAACATTACAACCTTGATTATAAATAAATTAAAGAAATTATAATATCAGAAAATCATAGTATAGAAAAATATTTATATACTTGACATTCTAAGATGTGACCCAAAATGTTTCCAGGTTAATATTAAAATTTAAGGCTTTCCTTATATGTGTTTTTTTTTGGCTTCCATTAGATTGTGTTAGAATGTTGCAAAGGGATCCAGCTATGGAGTTGCTTTGGGTTACTATTATAAAAATCATTTTAGGAAGTTTCACAAATGAATTTTTAGCAATAGCAAGCTCTTCAATAACAAAACATTCTACCTTCTAACAATTCAATAGAGAGGATTTAATAAGAGCAAGATGGGCATATTTGAGTCAAACATGTGGCATGGAGAGCAAATTATTTTATTGGAAGAGTTTAACAAAGTAATTATGTTGGATTTCTTTAATACCTCAATTTCTATGATTAATTTCAAGAGTTCAATAACAAATAATTTCACAGTGTATTACATATTTGACCTTAATGTAGTGAGGTATTTACAGAGTAGCTTAGTTCCATAAAATAACACTTTCGTAAAGAGTTTCTATGGACACTCTTGCTGTCATGGCCCTTGGTATTGATTATATTTTGATCCAATCAGTTATTTATAGAAAGTGTTTAAATCTATCAATTAAGTATATCTATAAAATGTATGAACACCTCTCCCCCTACTCCCTATATGAAAACTTGATTTGGGCATTTTTGGCTTTCAACCCAGTCACAAAAGATAGTCTCTAGGACAAAGTTGACAATTTACTAAATATAAATTGGTGCTAGATTGAGAATCTTGTATGTAGGTCAATCTCTAATAGATCTAGACACTTTTTATAAATAATTAATGGGACCAACACATGGGGCATACTAGCAAATGTCTATGGTAGATACAATAAAATATCATATAACAATATTAAAGGATTAATATGTGATGGTTCTTGTTAAGCTAGTGCAAAACGAAGTAAAAGGGACTTAACAATCCAGTGGCTAAGCTGAGGGAAAAAAAAACCATCTCTAGAAATGTAATACCAATTTGCTTGCTTGGAGGTGCAACCTTGCAATTAAGCACCACTTGAGCTACTCATTGCTTGGCTAAGCTCGCCACTGCCTAAGTTGGCATGTTAGGCACAATAGTAGTGCTTGGGCCACTACAGCAGTTTGTGGTGGCCTCACCACCATTTAAGCTGCTATGTAAGGCACAATAGTGTTGCTAGGGCCTTCTGGCAACCTATGGTGGCTGAAATCAGAATCACCTGAACTGTCACACTAGGTACAATAACACTGCTCAAGTCCCCATGACAGCTCTCACCACTGCCTCAGGTGCTGCACTAGGCATAACAGTGTTGCTTAGGGACCTGTGGCAGCTCTAACTTCCCAGCTCACCATTGCTCAATCTGGGCACGGTGCTGCTTACGCACATGCAGCAGTGCAGGCATAACTAGCTTACCACTTCTCAAGCCTGTCAAGTGTTCAGGCCTCTGAGGCAGCTCAGGGCTCAAGTGGTGCTGTTGTGCCTGACACATTAGTCCCTACTCCCAGGTATAGCTGCTTTTGCACGTGCTCAATCCTTGTGCTCATCTACTCAACCCTAGAAACCCTAAAAAAGCCTAAACACCACCCCAAAAATCTAATCTGGATATGCATGGATGCCCATTCATGTGCCAAACAAGTATTGAGTTTAAATCTTATGAGTAGAGGTTTGAGATTTGATTCACATAGCATTAAATACAAAGATATCACAAATATGTGAAACAACATAGAATCTATTATCTATATTACAATTGGTGTACTAATAGTTGTCAAAAGAGTAATAATATATTTTGCTCTATAGCATATTATATTTTTCGTAACCACTAATACATACACTAATTTTATTTATAAAAAAATTAAACTTATTATACAATTTAAATTTATATGTTAGATATATTTCTAATTTAAGGTTTATTTGTCCAGATTAACTTCTTAAGGCCATTGGAATATGATTTAACAGTTAAATATCCATTATTTTCAATTGTTAAAACAGCAAATAATAAACAATTTTGACAAAAAACATTAGTTTTCCATATAATATTACTTTTATCATCAATGATAAGTAAATGTCCATCAATTTGAAGATGAAGATAGCAAAATGTATTATATCTAAAAGACATAGTAGACCATATTGTCTCATAATTTGTAAGATCTTGAACTATCAAATTACAATTTTTTAATTTTACTTTAAATTTATTATTTAAAGATATTAAAGCATTATTATTTATTATATGTGTACCAAGAAATTTTAAAGGGCCACTTATTAATTGTGTGCGATATGGCCAACATTGCAAGTTGTCATATTCAAGATTATTATGTATATTTCCAGGTTGATTATTATCATCAGGTAAGCCTTTAGGATAATCAACATGAGGATATATTTCTTTAGGATGTCTTGTAGAGTTTCCAAATGCATAATAATCTATTGAAAAGTATCTATATACTACCATCATACTTTTTGGAGCATGTTGAAAAACATGATATTCTAGAAGTCGTAACATTTGAGTAAAGATAATACGAACAATTGAAGAATGAAATTGAGTGTTGGGTGGAAGTGGATTACAATTTAAATAATTTCTTATATCAAATGGACTAATATAAACCCTTATTGCTACTGCTTGTTGACCAACAGAAACTTCATATCCATAATAAATTCCCTGACCGATTAGTAATAACTCATTTGGATTTATATTGTCAATTAAATACATAAGCCTATTTATTAATGTAAACATATCTCGATTAGAAAAATGGTCATATTCTGTGCTCCATCTTGCTTGAGGTGGCTGGGCATTACAAACTAAATTAACTGTTAATAACCATATAAACATATAAAGCATTCTATTTATATTTTAGAAATTTATCTTTTAAATTGCTTTGTGTGTATGTAAATACATGATTTACATGTAACTAAAGAAAATATCATTACACATAAAAGACATTTTAAAGAAAAATTTATAAAGTTTTCTTTTATAAAGTTATTAAAAGCTGTTAAAATTTCTTTAATTTTTACAACTTTATTAAAAGGACCTTTCTGAAGATATTTTTATATACCTCTCAAAGCAAGATTTTTATAGGGTTCTTCAAATTTAAAAACCTGTATGCATATGGTTTTTTTTTTTTTTATCACAGAAAACTCGTATAAGAAACCTCATGTTTACAAAACCTTTTTCTTAGAAATATTTAATAACTACACTTGAATAATACCGTTATAGTAAGAATGCCAAGTTGAAGTTCGTAAATACTTAGAATTGTGGTTTACATGCACCCTAAAATGGGGATATTACAGGGCGACTATGGGTTCCAGCTCGCCAGCGATCTGGAGGCGATCGCGGCGTGGAGGCCATGGCTGGGCGATCACCTCTACTCGGAGCTGCGAATCCACCTTGCCACGCCCTCCGCCTGGTCGGCATTCATGAGAGGAAACGATGGCAGCAACAGCGGCCGCTTGCGCTTACAGCTCCGGGTGCGTGCTCTTCTCTATGACAAGGCGCTCGAGCTCCAGGACACAAGGATCTCTTCCCCCGCCAGTAAGTTTTATGTCACGGATTGATTGATTTGATTGATCGAAAGGAGTTTGGAGGGAATAAGCTGTGTTGATTCCTATCAGGCCTACAGCTCCAGCCCGACAGCGTCTATTTCACTCTGGAACACGACGCCTCGGACTGGGTCAGACTCCAGGCAGAGAGAGCTCCTACCATGGCTGCTCTTCAAGCCAAGGTATTTTAGCTAGAGAAACAAGTCTTTCTCGTTTTAAGTTTTCCCTTCTTTGTTTTGAAGTATGGATTGGACAACCGCGATACTTTGAGGTGGGGATTGTTCCAAGGATTGGCTAGACTCTTTCTTTTCGTTCTCTTGCAGCCCGCATTTTGCAGTAGGGGATGGGAAGCAAAAATCACAGCTGCGAAAGACTGCCATCAATACCATCAAACAGGTTTGTGACATTCTTGGTGGTTCCGTTTTAAGGCAGAGTGTCTTTGGTTTAGGGACGAAGCAGTCCTGGTTTTCGTGGCGTTGAGCAGTCGAAGCTTTTTTCCAGAAGCTCTCGCGAGCTCGATGCAGAAAAGAGCAGCATGGACTGTGACTTGTGGTACGACCAATGGTTTGACAAACACCTTAGCGAGAGGATGAACCGTCTCGCAAGGCGTCTGGCTCAGCAGAAACTTCCGTTTTCCGATCAGGAGGCACTGAAACGAACACCCGAAGGCATGGCAGCCTTTCTCAAGCTGACCACAAAGGCTCTAAAGAGACAACACCTTTCAGCCGGGAACGATATATCGTTGGGCCACGAAAGGGAACAGGAATCTTTCGATGGCGAGCTCAGCATTCTTCCGGAGTTGACGTCCATTTCGAGCTGTGTTCCGGAGAATCCTTGCCCCGCCACATGCGTGAGTGGGGCTTGCAGTCTTCAGCAGTCCCTGGAATCTGCTGCCGGTGGTGAGGCATCCGTTTTATCTGGACTTTCCAGCCAGCTTGTGAGATCAGGGACATCAGCGAGGAAAGCCAAAGTGTCGTCAGCAGATGCAGAGATTCTAAGCCAGCAGACGATTGCGAGAATTCTCGAGACTCATGGTTTCGAAGGCGTAAGACAGGTACCGATGGAGATATTCTCTGAGGTGATGGCTTTGCACATTCGAAAGCTAGGGAGCTGGCTGAGAATGCTGATTGATAGTTACCAGAAGCATCTATCCACGGACGAGCTGCTCAGGATGTTCATTCAGAGGCTTGTTTCTCATCCTGCCCGGGAAAACTCCGATGTTGGAGGAAGGTAAACTGCTTGGCCGTGCTAAAGATGACGTTTTCATATCTCTTTTTTTTGCTCTCTGGCAGTCTCCGAGATCTGGCAGAATACTTGAAGAACGAAAAAAGTCGTACTTCTCAAGTAGTACAAATAGATGCGCAAATGAGTAACCAGTTGCATCAGTTACACGTAAGTCTGGTGTTTTCTTTTTTTTTTTTCTGCCACGGAATGACTATTCTTGCCGATTTCCAAAAACCAGGCACAGTCGCGGAATCTGGCAGCATTTCAGCGCAGCATGTACCTAGAGAACCCTTTAAAAAAGAAACAATTGCCGTCTCTTCGAGCAAAACGGCAGGCCGAGGATCATACGACTTTCGAAATGAAACCGTATGTGTCAACACTGACAAAGCAGCCATGGATTCCTCAGCAAATACAAGCTTCAAGTCACTCTCAGGTTATGCAGCATTTACAGCAGCAAGCATCGTCTTTACACCTCCCTGGTGTTCAAGCGTACGTTTGAATATTACTTTCTCGGCCGCTGACATGCGTTGCTTGCACCCTCAGGTCGCCCAAGCTTTCAAACGCAAGAATTGACGGACTTCATGAGATTTTGGGGTCTGACGTGATGAAGCATGAGAATCCGGATGATCTGGACGGAACACTTGGCTCCCCAAACAAGAGAAAACGCAAGGTTTAGCCTGGTCGATACGCGATCACTGTACTGACTTTGTCAAGTTACAGGAATACTGAAACATCGCTCTTTGGTGTGCTGGCCATTCTGGGCCAGAGCATGGTGTTGTTGTCGTCGATTGGCTTTGAAACGGTGCTATCGTTCTCTTGGAATTATGAGCAGCCTTTTTCCGCATTTAGGGGACCACCTTTCGTTTGGCATGGCACCATATTCACTTGACTATGATGCACGAATTCTCCATCGCTATCGCCGAGGGCGAGAGGTCATCTCTGCCTACTGACAGGTACATGTATGTACTGCGTTTCTTCTTCTATTGATTCATTCATATACAACTTCAGTCTAACACAGAGTTTTCGTTTTTTTTTTTGTTCTGTCTTTTCCTATTTAAATCTAGAGTTGCTCGAGATAGCGGTCTGGTGACCGATGCCAACTGAGCACCTTACTTGATGGACGTCTGAATTCGGTACCGGCAGCACACATTCCTCCGAGCCAAGAGATGACCCTCGAACCGCCATTTGTCACAACCCGAGCCGGCGTATTACTTCCAGCACGATCGTGTTCATCGTCGAGTTTCATACTAGACCGCCACTTTTCGGCCATGTACTCGAGAACCGCTTCAAGGCTGTGATCGACCACCTCCGGAGGGGGCACAACGAGAGGATTCTGGTCCAACTTGAGCTTTCTCAGCTTCTGCAGCCGTCCGAAAGAAAGTGGCAGCTCCCGGATCTGGTTGTAACTCAGATCGAGCTCCCTGAGGCAGTAGAGATCTCCGAGCGAGCTGGGAACAGTGGTCAGACTGTTGAAGTTACTGCTGCAATTGAGGACTTCCAAGTCCTTGAGGTTGCCAATGGAGGAAGGGAGTGCGACGAGCTTGTTGAAGTGGATCTCGAGAACTTTGAGGGACGTCAGGTCGCCAATGGACGCCGGAAGCATGCTGAGCTTGTTGAGCTGGAGGGACAGCTTCTCGAGGTTGAAGAGCGAGCCGATGTTGGGGGGAAGCTTTTCCAGCTGGTTGAAGCTCGCGTTGAGCTCCACCAGAGAACTGCAACAGAGCAAAACCACTGCCGTGAGACGCGGCACAGGCAAAACAGAGAAGAACCAAGGTGGCTTACAAGCACAGTGCGAGCGAATCCGGCAAGCTCTTGAGAGCGTTTCCGGAAACGTTGAGAAACCGAAGCTTTTTGAGCGAGCGGATGGAATCCGGCAGGGTGGTGAGCTGGTTGGAGCTGACATCGAGCGTTATCAGATTGCTGAGCTGAGACAACGAATCGGGAAGAGCCTGGAGAGGAGGATCCGAGAGAAAGAAAAAGTCAAACATCTATGAACACGAAACAACGATCTATGATCTATGGAACCGAAGCTACCTCGAGGCAATTGGTGGAGAGATTGATCAGCGACAGCGACTTGATCCGTCCCAGTGACTCGGGCAGGCATGCAACACGGCGAGACGAAAGAAGCAGCTTATCAGATCGAGTATCGAAAGCGTCCTGGAGGACTCTGGCAACATCATCGTCGATGTCGTCAGTGATATACAGCGGCCTCATGGGGCTCCGGATCGGGGATCCAGGCACGGCAAATGGTGACGACTCGGCGCTCTTGAGCATCCCCGAGTAGAGCCTGTGGAGCTCGTCCAGCTGAATTGTCGACTTGTAAGGCAGCTTCTCCTCCTCGGCGGCTTCGATGGCTTCGTTCTCCTTCTCGGCCTGGACAACGAAGCGAAAGAGAAAAGACGAAAAGCCAAAGCTTTAGAAGCTGGAAGATCCAAGACGAGAGAAAGAGCAGCAGCACAGACCATGATCGATTCCCATTCCTCCGCGGTGGTGCTCGGCGGCTTGGCTTCTCGCGACAGTGCCTCGAGCTGCTGAGCCAAGTAGTCATCGATCACGTCCAGTGCCTCGCGCGCATCCTCGACGAGCTTGGAGTCGGGACGAGGGCCGAGAGCGTTGAGCATCGCTCTCGTCTCGGCAATTCGCACCACATTCGCCATGATATTTCAGAGGAGCCACTGCCAGAGGCGGAGGAAGACAAAGGAGAAAAGGGGAGCTTTTAGCTAATATTTCTGGCGGAGCGTGTTTTTATATTCCCAGAGGAGGCCCATGGCATTTTTTCCACCCGTACGCATTCGTCCGGAAAGGTAGTGGCTCATTTCTTTCCATTTCTTTCCCTAACTCTTGTGCTTCTTTTGTAGCTTGCGGAGCGAGCTAAACAAGTACTAAAACTCCGCAAGTTGGATTTGCTGAAGAGATGAGGATGAAGAGGCGGCAAGGAGTTGACCTCAAGCCACGCAGCCGCAGTAAACAAAGCTTTTGTAGCCCACCGCAGGCCATTTGACTAGGCGCGCTGGACAAGCCTATCATGCTTCGGCGAAGATGCAGTGGTGATGTACCGGCAAGTACTCCTCTTTTTTTTCGAAAGTACTCGTCTTGGCGTCTACCTTTCGGGCTAGAATTGTGGAGAGGTGACGAGAGCAACAAAAACAGGAAGGACTTGCTTGCATGATCATCAGCTTCCATGGCGACCTTGTCTCGGTGTAGAGAGCTGACTTTCTGCGGGAATCGAGTTGGGATCTAGGCTCGAAAGTCGTGCTGCGCTGCTTGGGAGGTGGGCTTTTTAATTTTATTCTTCGTTTCGTTGGTTTTGTCTAAGCTGGATCGAACAGGATTTGCATGTGAGAATCTTCTCAAGACTTTGTGGCATAAGGGCTTGCAAGTTGCGTTGCGGGGATGGTTTTTGCTGCAAGGAAAGTGGGCTGGAAGTTTATTTGATGTCTTTTTCCAAGTCCGGGGGCGAGAAAACTGGGGGAATCTCGATGTCTCTGACTGGTACAGTTTTGAAGCTGATCGCGGAGGTAAGTCGTTGATTTGCCAGAGATTTTCGGGTTTGTGTTTCACGCTGTTTTCTTTATCATGTTTATAATTCTATGTAATAAGTTCTCCAAGTAAGATGTGAAATCCTTGTGTTGTCATGCAGGTACTCCAATCTTTTGACAGCTCCTATAGTGTTATTTTCATCTTTGCATTCCAGCCCAACGGTTCCTTGTCAAAGGTTACTACGTTCTGTATGTTACAGGAAACAATACAAACCGTGGCTCCCAAGCTGCTTTATGTACTTGTAGAATTTGATCGACATCAGAACAATAGCTGATTATCCAAACTCCCTTTGTTTAAATGTCCATTTCTTTCTAGCTGCTTCACTGCATGATCTGCAACCATAGCCACTGTATACGGCCAAAGCCACATAAGCTGGAGCCATTTTTTCTTCACGAGAGGACCTCTCGAGGGCCAAGCAGGCTGCCCGGAAGGAACCGCACGACGGTTGTAGAGGTGCTCTTGAGCTGGACAGTCGGGAGCCGGGCACTCAAAAGAAAACGCCACTTCAGCTTGTCTCGGTTTGAGCAGCTCGATCTCGACGCTAGAGATATCCTCCCTCAGCGATTGCAAGTCCCCTTGTATCTGAGAAACAAGACGTTTAGAATCTGTGGTCGCTGTCATCCCAAATCACTCACGACAACTGGCCTCAGAAGTTCTTCCAGCTATTGCTCTGCCTGGATCTTCGCAAGAACTCGCGAAGAACCTTGCCCTCCTTGTGCTTGGCTTTTCGCTTCTTATCGCTCAAGAAGCAAAGAATCGAGTGGAACTTCGAACCCCTATAAAAAAGAAGAATAGACATCGCGATATGCTAGGAAGGAACATCGAACAGAATGCCAGTGCCAAAATTTTCCAAGATTATTAAGACTTAGAATATACCTAAACTCTGGATATTCTATGAATATTCATTACACCCTTAATAATAACAAATTTTCTTACTTTGTTTACAAAACATTTAAAGGAGTGTTGAATAAAGAAGATACTAAAGGTGTAAAGATGTTATCTATAAAAAACAAAAGAATGCAAGGAAAAATAATGAATATTACCAACATAAAGCTTTAGACTAAAAGGCTAACTTTATAAAAGAAATCTTTTTAGTTTATAAAATATTTTAGTTATTTTATTCTCAGATTTGATTAAATAGTCACTTTACTAATCAATTGTTAAGACTTGGGATTTTTATATTATAATCTCAAGTAAATGAAGTATTTCAGCAAGAAATGTATCATCATGTTGACTGTATACTAAGATATTTTAATTCAGCGTCAAACAAACATGATTATTATGGTTACATGTAAGATGGGAGCTTCAATATTATGGATCTAAACAGCAAACTTATGAAACTTTAATTTTGTAGTTAAATAACTATAACAAATTACACCCATTTTCTATTCTAGGGCATAAGAGCATGTTACTAACAATTTAAATATGCCAAAATACATTGTGTTTTTGAAACATTAGGCTGAGTTGGATGTCATGCTTTTAAAACTTTAATTTTATTTAGCCATTATTATAATCCATCATGACACCAGAATCAAGCTAGGGCTAGAACATCAAATTAGAGATAGAATGGGGGACTAGGAAGAAAATTCCAGATTGCATGTGGAAGTTGTGCAGTTGTTCTTGGCAGTGATGGTGATCCAAAAGGATTTGCATATGGCATATTTCAGGTTGTCACTTCCAGGCTAAGATCTGTCGTTGCAGCTCAGTGTCACTCTGCAATAGGTGGTAGATTTCAATTCCAGCTCTTTCTTCCCCTTCTGCACTATTTTAGATGTATATTAAAAAATGCTAAGACAAAAGGGCAGATGCAATAAGATTTAGGGTGGTGTGCAAATATTGATGCCCTCCATCCACATTTGGGTAAATATTGCTGGAAGGAACCAGCCACTGTTGAGGTAGCTATCTTGGAAGGTAAAACAAAAGAGCACAAATATTTAATTCCTCTTCATTTGCTTCAGCTTTTTTGGTTCATCACAATTCTTTGCCATGGTTGGAGACTTGCATGCAAGATATCACCAAGATGGCGACTATTCTTACAACAATAACTAAAGGATGGAAATAGTTGTTGGCAAGGTTGGCAACTACATAAATTGGACATGAACACGTCCCAGGGAATTTGGTGGTCATGGAAATATTACTTGACCCCTCTATGGCAAGACCTTTTTTGTGGTTGAGAAGGTAAAAAAACTGTGTTTTTCACAATAACTAATAAAAGATATAGACTCCATTGTCCCTATAGTTGGGTAATGTAACATTATTTATCTGTTTAAGGATGATCTCCACTGAAGAACTTTGAAGCCTTGGCAAA